CCTTTTCCAGCCTTTCTATATCTACATCTGTTACAGCCCTCAAGCTTGAGTACTGTTGATGTTGGGTGGCTAGTGAGGCCGCTCCTGTCCCAGCCCCAATGAGTCTGATTCCAAGAATCATACTTAGAATAAGGGCCGTGGCTGCGATTGGCTCCCTGGCAACCCGGGATTGAGTTCTGTTAATCCGTCCCAACAGTTCATCATTAGTATGGTATAGCAGTCTGGGAACTAACTGGACTAGGATACAGTAGTCTCATGTCAGATTAAAAACCTCCATATGCACGCAAGGGGTCAGGCCAAAGGAGCAAGTCCACCATGCATCAGTCTCAGGGACCAAGTAACTGGTTAGGCGTAATAATGCTCCAAGTGACATTGCATAGTTTCTGGTAATCCATTGGGATCTGTCCTATACATAGTCCTTGTCCTGTGATATGTTGCAGAGTCAACTTGGCCTTAGAACTTCAACGACAGGTGTTGTAGTCAGAAAAGTTATATGTCCCCAAGACAGCTATGCCATCATAAGGCGGGGCAGTATCATAACATAACCAACAAGAGGCCGTCATGTCTGGCTTTGTAGCTTTCAGTACCAGATATGATTGCTCCAGCAGAGTGAGGAGAGGGTTTACCTCCGGTTTCTCAAAAGGGGCCAGTACCTTAGTATTTCAAACTTTAGCTCCTCTGGAGGTGGGGGCCCCAGGGCCTATGGGAGAAATTGTGGCCACCTCTGGGGTGACGGGCACCTTTGGGGTGGTCTTTGCCCGTGGTGTAGGGGGAAGGGCTTTGGTGTAATCTCAACTGTGGGTTTGGGGAGTAATCTGATTACTCAACAGATCCTGAAAACTGATCCCAAGTTCTCAGACTTCAACTGAATGTCCCAAGTATAACCCATCTCCCAATTGGGGGCCTCCCTTCCTTGGTCTGTGAAACTTATTTTAATAGGATTACAGTTAGGATAGCATTTATTCCTTTGGGTCCATGTGGGGATGTTATGGACAGCGGTGGGCATGACTGCTGGGTGGCCAATGAGTGTTAGTGTGATAAAATCATCTTTAACAGGCGGTGTACAATCTATGAACCCTGTACTCAGGCAATCCCATGATTTGCAATAAAAGTCATAAGGTGTCCCACATTTTCCTTCTCCCCCTTTTTGCCTGTGGGCCTCTGGGCAAACATAAAAACTTTGGGTGGAGTCTGTGGGACCTATACAAGCAATCAATTTCGAAAGGTCCAGGTTCAAATCTGGGTACCAGACAGATGGGGGAACTACTTTGGACATCTGGGCCAGGACCCTCATAGAGTTAACATCTATAAGTTGCCAGGTTGAATTAAAGGGCTGGTGGGGGTTGGCACCACAAACACATAACAATTAGTATAGTAAGAATTAAGAATGGCTTAGTCTTAACTTGAGAGGATTGTCCGCATTTCGGTGAACTTTCCATGCCTTGGGTCCTGGTGCTGGGGCCTGAGGGTCCTCCGGGTCATCGGGGTGTGGATCAGCTCTCCGGACGTGAGTGTGATATATCCAGGTAGCGATTCCATCTACCTTGATGGCTGTGGGCATAGTCAGGAGCACCACATAAGGGCCCTTCCAGCAGGGCTTGAACGTTTCACCGTGGTGCCGGCAGATGTAGACCCAATTACCTGGCTGATAATTGTGTGGAGTGGGAGGAGGTGCTGTCTCATAGATAGCTCTCAGTCAGGGCCACACATCCTTATGTGCATGAGCCACTGCTTCTAAGGAATTAAGCAACTGATGGTTATCAAATTCAGCAATTAGTTCAGCTCTTAAATTGGGGAGAATAGGAGGGGTCTTCCAAACATGATTTCATAGGAGGTTAACCC